CCTAATTGATTGCATTTGAGTAAAGTTCAAAAACCTTATGGAAAATTTATCCATAGGGTTAGAAGTCAGCTTGGTGGTGACCCCTGGAGGATAGTGATTGGAAAGGGGCATGAAGGGGACCTTGGGGGAAGCTGGGAATGTTCTGTGTCTCAATCTGGGTGCTGGTCACATGTGAGTGTTCACTTTGTGAAAAGTCATTGAGGCCCATAGTTATGCACTTCTCATACACTGGATTTTAATTTAAAAGTTTAAAAAGAAGAGAGAGGAGGAGGAGAGGGATGAATCACTCAGTCATGCAGATGTGCTCCCTGGATAAAGCACTGCTTTGGACATTGACAAGGAGCTCTGGTGTCACAGTGGTTAAGGCATTTGGCTGCTAACCAAAAGCTCGGTGGTTCGAACCCACCAGCTGCTCAACAGAAGAAAGACGAGACAGTCTGTTCCCATGAAGATTTACAGCCTTGGAAAGCCAATGGGGTTCACGACGACTTGGAATCGATTTGATGTTAGTGAGTTTGGTTTGGGTTTGGTTGGGACATTGACAATATGCCCTAGGCCTGCACTTCAGGATACTAAACAAAGCATTCCCAAAGAACTCCTCTTTCATTTACTGTATATTGCTGAGGTCATACTTTGCCATGTCCCTTCATGCCCTTCTTATGAGGACCTATGGGAGAAACTTCTCTGTGGTCTCAATACCTGAAAAAAGTATTCTTCTCTCAAGCTACAGTTGTTTTTTTTAATCTAAGCACCAACACATGTATGGAATATCTTCTTTTGCTCTTTGCCTTGGTTACTTGGAAGTTCCATATCAAATTTACAGCCCTTTAGTAGTTATAGTCACCATTCAAAAAACATCCTGAGGGTCTATTGTGTGCCAGGGTCTCTGGGACTGTGTGATGAATTAGGCATCCATGCCCTGGGGGTCTCACAGTCCATCTGGGACACAGGCGTGTACCAGGCCATTGGAATACAGTGAGGGGAAGCACAAGACCAGTGTTAACATACAATAGAGGTCTAACCTACCTTACACGGTTAGGAAAGGATTCTTGGAGGAAGTACTACCTGAACCGAGGGAAAGGGGATGAAGAGGCATTAACTAGGGGAAGAGGGGTGGAGGGAGGTATCCAGGCAGAGGGAATAGCACATGCAAAGTCCATGAAGTGAGATCAAGTCTGAAGCCAAAAGTAAAGTGCCAATTTCTAGCTCATTCTCTGGTTTTGTATACTCTTCAACTCTTATTTTCCTTGCTCTGATTTTCTTAGCTTTTCTGTTTTATTTTTGCAGGGGCCCATATATCTCTTAAAAAAAAAAAAAAAAAGTAAGGTACAAAGACACAAAGAGCCTGGGCAGATAATTCAATAGGTGCCAGCTCATGGTTGCTTGGTTTAGGTCTCAGAAGCCTGGACTCCCTTCCGTCCTTCCCCAGGTGTCCCACATGTTGTGGCTCTGGATGAAAAGAACATCCATCTCATCCCTCTCTCTAAAGCTCCCCTAGCAGCTAACACATTGCAAACCTGCACGTCCCACCTGACAGCTCATGATTCATAACTTCATTAAATATTAGCTCAGCGGGAAGGAATCCTGCAGGGCAGCCGCCTATATTCCCAACCAGCCCCAGCTCTGGTTTCACTCCTGCTGCTCTGCTGGCTGCCACTTCCAGCGAGAGAGATGTGGCTGTCGGCTCTCTGGAGCCTTGAACTAGCGTGTGAGGCATTTGTGCATCATTTCCTCTCCTCTGTATGGTCTATGCAGTAAGAAGGGTGCAGGCTCATGGGGCAGCCTCTCAGCCTGGCTCTCCTCATGTCTCTGCAATGTCCCTGCAAGGGACATGTGACTGGCCCTGCAAGGAACCTGTTATGGATTGAACAAACCAAAAAACAAAGAAACCCACTGCCATCAAGTCGACTCCAACTCATAGCAGCCCCCACTGGGTTTCCAAGGTGGTAAATCTTTATGGAAGTAGATTGCCCAATTTTCCTTCTGCAGAGTGGCTGGTGGGTTTGAACTGCCAACCTTCTGATTAGCAGTCAAATGCGTTAGGCACTGCACCACCAGAGCTCCTTATGGATTGAATGGTGCCCCAAAAAAAGATATGTTGAAGTACTCCTCACCTCTGTACTTGTGAACATCACCTTGTTTTGGGGAAATAGGGTCTGTCTTAGAAGACATTATCTGTTAGATCACACTAGAGTAGGGTGGGTGCTAGTCCTAATCCCTTCTGAGGGGTATCTGATAAAAAGGGATGATGAGGAAGTAGTCACACACAACAGGAAGATGCCGTGTGAAGATGCCATGACCAACCAACCATCAAAATTTTAAAGACAGTGGATCCTACCATACAGAGTGAGAGCCTCCCCTCCCTCACCCTAACCATGGCCCCCAGAGTCTGCATATATCCAAAATGTTGGTATTTTGTTCATCATGGGTTTTTTGCATTGATTTCCATTTTAAAAAATATTGTGTTAAACATTGTTTGAGTATTGAGTTTTTCAGGGCCCTCTTAATATTGCATCTCAACAGAATTCCTTACTTGCCTCATCCTAGTCTTGGCCCCAAAAGGCTAAGTGGAAGAGCAGGCTTTGCTTACCCAGCCCCTCCTTGGTCTACCATGGCACACCACTCATGTGCCACATTGTAATGTGTAATGTCTGTAATTTGCAGTGACCTTCCTGAGTGTAGGTATTTACTGGTTGATATGCTCAACCCCAACCCATGAACTCAACCCCCAGGTAAAGAAATAAAACATCACCAATGGCCTCACACACATCCCAACATACCCTTCTCCAATTGCAGGTGCCTTTTTGCCCCCCGGAGATAACTACTATTCTGAATTTGGTGTTTCTTATTCCCATGAATGCCCTTCCATCAAGTATACGTATGTATACTTCTCTAGGTGGCACAGTTTGTTCGTGGCTACTAACCAAAAGGCTGGTGGTTCATATCCACCCAGGAGTGCCAATGAAGAAAGGCCTGGTGATCTACTTCTGTAAGATTACAACCAGTTGCCATCAAGTAGATTACAACTCATGTGTCTTAGAGTAGACTGTGCTCTGTTGGGTTTTCAATGGCTGAGTTTTTGGAAGTAGGTTGCCAGCCTTTTTTCTGGGGTGCCTTTAGGTAGCCTTGAACTTCCAACCTTTCAGTTAGCAGCTAAGTGTGTTAATCATGTATACCAACCAAGGACTCCTATAAGATCGTTGTTGTTGTTGTTGTGTGCTGTCAAGTCAGACCCGACTCATAGTGACCCCACCTTGGGTTTCCGAAGCAGTATGACTATGGAAGTAGATTGCCCAGTCTTCCTTCTGATGAGTGGCTGGTGGGTTTGAACCACCAGCCTTCTGGTTAGCAATCAAGTGCCTTAGGCACTATGCTACCAGAGCTCCCGATAGTCATTGAAAACCCCATGATAGAACACAGTTCTACTCTGACACTTGGGGTCACTGTGACAGTATCGACAGCAATAGATAAACTTATATACAAACCAAAATCACTGCCATTGAGTCAATTCTGACTCACAGCAACTGTATAAGACAGAGTAGAATTGCCCTATAATCTTTACAAAAGCAGACAGCCTCACCTTTCTCCCACAGAGCAGGCGGTAGGTTCGAACTGGTGACCATTTGGCTAGCCACCAAATGCTTTGACCACTGTACCACCATACATACATACATACATACATACATACATATATACACATATGTGTGTGTGTATGTGCATCTGCAAATTTTAAACTTTTATGTATGTGATACTGTGTTGTAGGTATTCTTTTGTAATTTAATCATTTACTTCAGCATCATGTTTGTGAGAACTATCCATGTTAATACATGTATCTCTAGATCAGCGGCCAGCAAACTTATCCTGTAAAGGACCAGGCAGTAAATATTTTAGGTTTTCGGGGCCATACAGCCTCTATCGTAAGTATTCATGGCAGTGTAGCCCAAAGTAGCCATGGTCTATACATAAGTGAATGGTTGGGGCTGTGTTCCAATAAAACTTTATTGACAAAAACAGAATGCAAGCTGAATTTGGCCCACAGACCACAGTTTACCTACCTCTTCATTCTTTTTCGCTTTTGGGAACTTAAGTTTTAATATAACGAAATGTGTTCATCCATTCTCTTACTGATAGGCTCCCATCTGGGTGTTTATTCAAAATAATAAATGCTGCTGCTGCTTACATCTTGTCTTTTCACATACACGTGGGAGAGACTTTTTACCTAAAAGTGGAATTGCTGGGTCACAGGGTAGGGATAGCTTCAGCGTTCGTAGAGAATGCCAAATGGCTCAGGAGTAATGAGATCAATCCACACCCCCACTGGCAGTGTACAAGAGTTCCTGCTGCCACATATCCTTGCCAACACTTGGCTATGTCAGACTTCAATTTTGCCAGTCCGACATGTGAAATGGTAGCTATCATGGTCTTAATTTGCATTTCCTAATTGCCGGTTAGGTTAGCATCCTTTCATGAGTTTATTGGCCATAAAAATTCCTGAACAATTAAACTATTGAAACAAGAGTCCCTCCCTTGGGAACTGCCCATTCATATGTTTTGCCCATCTTCCCCCCCCCCCATTGGAGCATTTGTCTTGTTCCAATTGATTTGAGGAAATTCTTTACATATGCAGGATTCTCTGTGCCAGTTATATGTGTTGTCAATTTCTTCTCCAAGTATGAGAGTGTCTTTACCTTAGGCTGTGATAAACTGAAGTTTTAACTTTAATTTAGCCAAATGTATCACTTTTTTCCCAGGTGACTTGTGCTTTCACAATTTATTTAAGAAATGCTTCCTTTTGTAACTAGAGGACACCAATTTGAATCTCAGCCAATATCCCAGGGCCTCAGTTTCCACCTCCATAAAACGGAGACTATCTCAGCCTAACAGTATGTACCTCACAGAGGGCTTTTGAGGATGTTTCCAAACCACTTAGCACGGTGGCAGGTAAACTGCCATTCTCCTTCCCCCAGCAAACCCCACCCCTCACAGGGGCCCCAGGATACCTTGCTCTCCAGCAGGTCTGCATTCTTCCAGAGTTCATTTCGCGACTTCTCTGATTTTTCTAGCTTCTGTCTCAGGGTTGTAAGCTCCTCCTACAAAAACAAACACTCAGCAGAAGCCATCCCAGGACAGATGCATAAGTCCCCCTTTTGTTAAGAGTGGTTGGAGAATGGGGAGACACTGAACCCAATGGATAATAAGTGATATTTTGAAAATGACTTCTAATTTAGTTGGAGGTGAAAATGGTACTTTTCCAAGTCCTTATCTGTCAGAGACACACATTGAAATATTTGTAGGTGAAATGATATGATGTTCAAGATTCACTTTAAAATACTTGAGACAAAAAAAAAAAAAAAATGCACAGAGGGACAGATGAAAGAAGGGTGGCAGAAAACTGACTGTCATTGAAGCCAGATGATGGGTGTATAAAAGTTCACTGTAATGATCTCTCTGCTTTTATGTGTTTGTAAATTCCTTTAATAACAATTAATACACACACACACACACATATATTCATGATGTAAATAGGAGAAACTCTGTGCAGGGGAGAGTGGGAAGATACAGTTCCTGTATGTTCTGCACAATTTTTCACAAGATTTAAACCTAAATCTTCTGGGGGGAAAAAAAAAAAAGAGTGGTTTGAGAACGGAGTGGGTGGTTTAGCCAACACACCTGTGATGATGCCAAAAGGCTAAGTTCCATGAGGGATGTTTCTCTTCCATCATTTCCAACTATCAACATCTCTGCTCATGCAAATCTGCTCACAGCAGCCCAGTCTGGGGTATTACTGTGAACCTCAGAATGGGATTATTGCTTAACCTGGGACTGGGCGTGTCTATGTGTCGATGGAGCACTCGACACTTATCTTCCCTGATGATCACTCTTCTGCTTACACCACCACGAAAGGCTAGTTGAATGCACTAAGAACACAGACAAAGGAGTATATGCACCCATAAAAACAGAACTAAGGAGAGCTCCATAAAGGGATACGGCAAGATTTTCAAAATACATATTTTAAGTGAGAAAATACAAGTTGCAGGAAAGTATATACAGTATGTTACCTTTTATGTGAGAAAGAAAGGAACTAAGTATGCAGTTACTTGCTAATTTACACAAAAAGAAAAACAAGGAAGAGGAATTAAGGTGGCACCGTGGTTAAGTATTCACCTTGTGACCTGAAAGATTGGCAGTCTGAGCCCCCCAGTCACCCCATGGGAGAAAAGACACGGCAATCTGCTCCTATAAAGATTACTGTCTACCAACCCCTTTACGGCAGTTCTAGTCTCATCCCATAGAGTGGCTGTGAGTCGGAATTGACTTGATATCACCCTTAATAGTAATGACATAAATGGGGGGTGGGTAACAGGGTGAAAGAGACAGGGAAGAGTTTTCTTTGGGTTTGTCTTTTTATGTATTTGGATATTTTAGCTTTTTGACATGTGTATCATTTACATATTCAAAAGTTACGTGGAATCAAAGAGAATGATCATAAAGCAAACTTTGAAAGTGAACACCAATGGAGCAAAGTATATATCAAGTGGAGAAAGAGCAGTAATTACACAAGTCACTTTGAGGACAGTACTTAGAATGTACCCCATTAGTGGGACATAATCTAAAAGCAAAAAGAATGCCAACAATGTCTTGATCTCCACTCACTAAGTGTCTTGGTGGTGGTGGTCTTGGTACAGTAATTTTGAAATTCTTTCTGTGCCTTTTGTGGGACAGAGCCAATGAGGAACTGTTCTGGTGGTGTTGAAGAGTAGGGTTCTCACATGGGGGAACCACTTACCCACTCCCATTGAGTCAATTCTGACTCTTAGTGACTCTTTAGGACAGAGTAGAACTACCCCATAAAGTTTGCAAGGCTGTCGTCTTTATGGAAACAGATTGCCTCATCATTTTCCTAGGGTTTATGGGTTCCAACCACTGACCTTTCGGTAAGCAGCCCAGCACTTAACCATTGCACCACTAGGGCTCTTCTGACATGGGAGAAGGGAGGCCCACATGTGGAATGAGGAAAGACAGACATACATCTCCTGACTGTGTCCACTGAGAGGGCCAGAAGCCATAACCAGAAACCTCATAGCTTCCTTATCTGAGTCAGGACCCAGAAAAGGTAACCCTAGAGCCAACTCATGCAGAAAGTAAGGAAGTGCTCAAAGGCACCCGGGATGTGCCAAAAGGACACAGCATTCACCTTGAAGGGAATGCCCTCAGCTCTATTTGGGATCATTTGACTGTAAAAAAGAAAGTGAAAAATACCAAAAACCCTACCACCAGGAATCTTTGTTTAAATCCTTGAATGCATATTGACACTCAAAAACCGGGTAACGAAAGAATGTTCTTCACAAAAGAGGGACAACTCATAAATGTAGAAGGAAGGATAGAAAAACCACTATGTTCCAATCATCTGTATATTAATTGGTTTTACAAGAATTTTCAATGATTTGATAAAGATTTTGGGGAACAGGATATTGACAGCATCATAGTGTCACCCCACAGATCACTTACTAATAAAAAGAAAAAAAAAATGGTGCATTGACCATGGATTGAGCTTAACCCAGTGATGAAATGGAACATCACCAAGAATGGGACAAGCTGATGTTGATGTCAAAGGTCAATGATCACCATCACCGAGGTAACATTCTTTCCAAAACTGCTTAACCTGAATCTACTCATGAGAAAACAGAAACAAATCTAGGTTGTGGGCTACGGCATAAGAAAGGTGATCTGGACTCTTTACACTTTAAATCAATGTTGATAAAGAAGAGAGAGAGACAGTGTGGGTGAAAGCAGATTAAAGCTACATGACAACTAAATATGATCCATCTACTCCTCACTTATCAGTTGCCCTGTTATTCAACATTTCACATTTATGACAAAAGTAAAACAATTTACTACTATCTATTTTGTGCATTAATGATATACATCTGGCAGTAATGAACACTGAGGTGCTAGCGAGAGTAATGCTGGCAGTGAATGTTAACGTTATGTGTCAATTCAGCTGGGCCATGATTCTCATTGGTTTGGCAGTTATATAATGATGTAATCTGGCAGTTACGTTATGGTGTAATTTGGTGGTTAAGTAATGATGTAATTATGTGGTTATGTAATGATATAATTTGGCAGTTATGTGATCATGTAATTTGGTGGTTATATAATGATGTAGTCATGCTCCATTTTATGATCTGATGTGGTCATCCTCCATTTTCACATAATGCTGATTTTCACAACCTAAACTTTGGAATGCAACCAATATCCATAAGTGAGGAGTGAGTGTATATAAATCTCGATTGGATAAAAGAAAAAACTTTAAAGGACATAATCGAAACAAGTGGGGAAATTTTGAGTTGGACTCCATATTAGATTAGACTATTGTATCTCTGAGAACTTTTTGGGGTATGGTGACAGCATCATGCCCATGTAGGAGACTGTCCTTATTTGGACATGCTGAAATTTTTAGGGGGTGAAGTGTCCAGATGTCTGCAACTAAGATTCAAATGATTAAGCAGGGGAGAAATATGTACACATATTTTGTGCATAGGCATGTATGAAGGAGCCCTGGTGGTGCAGTAGTTAATCACTAGACTGCTAAGCAGAAGGTTGGTGGTTTGAACCCACCAGCCATTCCAGAGGAGAAAGATGAAGCAGTCTGCTTCCATAGATATTTACAGCCTTAGAAACCCAATGGAGCAGTTCATGGAATTTGACTCAGTGGCAATGGGACTTTTTTTTTAATGTGTATGTGCGTGTGTGTGTGCGCGTGCGCATGTGTGTCTGTACATAGAGACATTGTGTATAGAGAGACATTGAAAGACAGAGTACAAATATGGGAAAAGGTTAGTGATTGATGAATCTAGAGCAAGGGCATAAAGCAAAACACCAACCCACATGCTGCCTTGTCCACTCACAGAGACCCACGTGCATCAGAGCAGACCTGTGCTCCGTGGGGTTTTCAATGGCCGTGGTCTTCTTGGAGCAGAACACCAGGACTTTCTTCCATGGTGCCCCTGGATATATTCAAACCTTCAACCTTTCAGTTGTAGCTTAGCACTTAACTATAAACCCAGGGACTCCAGATGAAGGGCACGGCAGTGTCCATTGACTCTTCTTTCAACTTTTCTGTCAGTATGTAATTTTTCAAGGACCCCTACTGGTGCAGTGGTTAAGTGCTGGGCTGCAAACTGAAAAGTCAGCAGTTGAAAGCCACCCGCTGCTCTGCAGAAGAAAGACGTGGCAGTCTGCTTCCATAAAGATTACAGCCTTGGAACCCTATGGGGCAATTCTACCTTGTCCCCTACGGTCACTATGAGTTGGAATTGACTTCACAGCTATGAGTTTGGTTTTGGGGGTTTAAATACAACTTTTCATCTCAGTGAGGGTAAGAAAATAAATCACAAATCCCACCATTGAGTCTGTGTAGGATATGCAATTAGAGCGTCCTTGTATCTGTGATAGTGATACATATCATGTTGGGCACAGGGTGGAGGGTGGCAGGTACTGATGGGATCGGAGGGCTATCTGGAGGGGTGCTGAGCATCTTGGGACCAGGAATTTTCAGAGCATCATGGGAGACCGAGTCCTAGATGCAAACACTGAGCTGGGGGATGGGGAGGCATAGTCACCCACACCCTGCCTGCCACGTGGACGGACCTCCTTGGCTCGGAGCTGCTCCTCTCCAGTGGTGGAACTCAGCAGTGGCCGGAGGGAAGCAAGGAGCCGCCACCATGGCCAGTCCTTGACTGCCAGGAACACAGCCACATTCTTCTGGATGCACTGCGCGGCCAGACAACAAATCTACAGGGAAAGGAGACAGAGACTTAACAGGGTCCTTCTTCCCCTGGTGAAGGTGAAGGAATAGATAGAGGAGACAAAGGAGACAGAGGCAGTAGGTTTATGGAGTAGTGGAAGGGACTAGATAACTCTAAAGATAAAACGAAGGCTTCCTTTCGCAGAGTCCTTCTAATATGTCACTCAACATCAGGTATTTATACCATAATTTAATCCTGCATGACTTAATGATGGCAATTATAGTAAAAGGAGGAAAAAATACTATTCAACAGGGACACATCTTATGGCAGGATTACATTCAAAAGCCATCATGCAAGGCAAAAACTATCCTTGAAAATACTCACAGGAAACAATGTTCATGATTATGTTGTTAGCTTATATTTAAGGCACAGGTAAGTGTATTTAAATACTAATTCAGTGCCTCTCAAACTTGGACACGAACCAGAAACATTATCTGATATGTATATTTATCATGCAATAACAGATATTTATTTAAATATCAAAGAATTCAACTCTCTGGAGATTTCTGAAGATCCGGGCCAGGAGTGGCTCAGGACTTTGGACTCCGAATCTGCCCTTTGGTCCCAAAGACCTTGGTGACCATGAATGGGCCCGTGCCTGTCTGCTGACCATGAAAACCAAGTCCTCCAGAGATGGACCATTTGAAATCCTGACCCAACTCAAGAGAGCTTGGACAACCTCATAGATATCTAGATCAAGGAGGACGTCCTTGGTAATTTGATGTCAACATCCCAGAAACAATCATGCTGTCTTGCAAAGGGTCTGCTGGTCTCCCCACTTAGATGGGTCTTTGGACCAGCAACACAGGCATCATCTGGGAGCTGGTGTGAAATACACTCTCATTCCACCCCAGACTCACTAGGTCAGAACTCACATTTTAACAGTGTCCCACAGGGATTCATGTACAAGGGCAAGGGCAAGTGTGAGAAACATGGGTTCAAAGCCCCGTGGGCCAGGAGGGACGATGGTTTCCTAGGCCCTCGCCCTTCTGCCAGGCTCCCCAGGCACACTGGTCTCCATACCTTACGCTTTTTGAATTCCTGGCGAGACAAGAAGCCCTTGCAGGTCGCCTGGAAGAGCATGATGCTCTGGGACACAAGCTTCTCCCGCTGCTTCTCAAGCCTGGAGACCACACCCGCCTTGAGGAAAACCTAGGAGAGAAGGAGACAGGTGACTTTTCCCCTAGAGCAGATTGTCTGGAGGGGGACGTGGTTGCAACTCAGACCCTCCTTCCCTTGCACCTCCCCTCAATACTTGGGGCAGCTGTCCTTTAAAAGGTCTCTAGGTGACAAAAGTGGTTTGCTCTCGACTCCAAAACCAATCCGCTGCCACTGAGTTGATTCCAACACAAAGAGACCCTATAGGACAGAGTAGAATGGCTCCATAGGGTTTCCAACGCTGTAATCTTTCCAGAAGCAGCCCACCTCATCTTTTTATTGGAGAGCAGCTGGTGGGTTTGAACCTGCCCATCTTTTGGTTAGCAGCAAAAGGCTTTAACCACTTCACAACCAGAGTTCTTTTTGTCCTTGACTATTAACCTAATAATGAATACACCATGGGCTGCCAGAAAAAAACAAACAAATCTGTCTTAGAAGAAATACAGCAAGAGTGCTCCTCAGGAGCGAGGGTGGAGAGACTTGGTCTTAACGTACTTTGGCCATGTTCTCAGGAGGGGCCAGTCCTTGGAGAAGACATCATGCTTGGTAAAGTAGAGGATCAGCCAAAAAGGAGGAAGATCCTCAGCAGGATGGATGGCCACGGTGGGTACAACAATGGGCTCAAACATAGCAATGACTGTGAGGATGGGGCAGGCCCAGGTAGGATTTCGTTATGTTGTACACAGAATGGATACGAGTTGGGAGCGACTTGATGGCACCAACCCACAACAAAGGAGCTCTGGTAGCATAGTGCCTAAGGCACTTGACTGCTAACCAGAAGGCTGGCGGTTCAAACCCACCAGCTGCTCCTGAGAAAGAAGGTTGGGCAATCTACTTCTGTAGTGATACCGCCTCGGAAACCCAAGGAGGTGTCGCTATGAGTCGGGGTCCGACTCAACAGCACATAACAAAAAAACACAACCACAACAAGAACACTAGCCTAGAGGCTGGCAGTTAAACCTACCCAGAGACACCATGGTAGAAAGGCCTAGTGAATCAAGCACCTCTGCTCTGCAACACATGGGGTTGCCATGAGTCTCAGGAGGTTACAAGTCTTTTAATGAAGAGGCCCTGGGTGGCACAAACAGTTAAAGAGCTCAGCTGTTAACTGAAAGATTAGACACTTGAGCCCACCCAGAGGAACACCTTGGAAGAAAGGCCTGGTGATCACTAAAAAAATAAGTTATTGGAAACCCCATGAAGCACATTTCTACTCTGACCCACATGACATCACCATGAGTCAGGGTCAACTTGATGGCAACTGGTAACTGGTGGCTCCTTAATGAGGATCTAGATTATCAAAAGAGCCCTGGTGGCAATGACTGTGAGGATGCCACAGGACTGGACGGTGTTCTCTCCTGTTGTACAGTGTCACTATGAGTCAGAGCCGACTCACTGACACTGAACAGAGCAACATTTCTTACAGCAGCAGATCACAAGGCTTTTCTGCACTGGTGTTACTGAGTGGGTTTGAACCACCAAACTTTGAGCTTTGTAGCCAAGGCAAGCCATTTGCACTACCCAGTGTGTAGTGCAAGGGTGTGTTTGGGACACACCCAGGGCTCAGGGGGGAACATGTGATTTACTTATGGTAACACAGCGGGTGACCCACAAAGCTGATACCTGAACCCAGAACCTTGGGTTTACCTCCTGCCCCCACTCTCAGGGCCCACATGAGCATCCGTTTCCTCATTCATGGTGGTATAAGCACCTGAAGCTTGAGGTTTGACTGCAATTTGATTCCAGGTGGAACAAAGGGTCTCAATCGATTCTCCATTACCCTAAACCTATTTTCAGTCATGGAGACCATGCGGCCAGTTCTGCAGCCAGCCTGTCCTCAATGGGAAAATGAAAATGAGAGTGCCTGATCGGTGCTAACTCTGTTTTGCAGAATGCTTCCGATCAGCCAGGGCCACCGAGACAATTAGCCTCATTGAACTAAAGACACGATTGACTCATTACCTATCAGATGGCCTCAATAATGACTGTATTAATTTCACAAGCTAGTGAGTCCCAAAAGCTGCTTTAGGGAAAAAAAAAAAAAAAATCAATGATCAAGGGGATGACAGCCCCTGTTCGTATATTACAAAGGGTGGTGGGGGCTGCCAAAACCACTATTGATTAAGTATGAAGCTTTCATTACAGAGATAATTGGAAACGGTCATACACAGAATGGGAATAAGTCATCGCCTCTGCAGAATCTTATCTTGATTTTTTTTTCCTTCTAAGAGCGCATTGGCAACGCGAAGGCTGACTGCATATACAATCACACTTTCCTCATGAATGTCACGGCCTCAGCACAGCCCTCACGATAAGGCACCAGAGGTTGAAAATCACAAAGGAAAATCTAAACTACTTGCTTTTCATGGGTCTAGCTGCTTATCGTACTCAAGCAGAGAAATATCCCAACAGCCTACATTGAGGGAGCCCATAGGGGCCACTGTTTTGCAAGCTAGATGTTTTCCCTCTAAACATCTGAAGGCTTTTAAAAACTGGATGTGGCCATAGATCCCATGTCTGGTACAAATGAGGAAGGAGCTCCTCTCCTGTTACCAATTGGACACATTTCTTTTTCTTCTTCTCTACTGTTATTGTGGTGAAAACATACACAACAAGGCATTCACCAACATAACAACTTCCCCATCTATAGCTCAGGGACACTGATGACATTTTTCACGTTGTGCCACCATTATTGCTATCCTTTCCAAAATATGTCACCATCCTTAGCATAAAGTCAATCCTCCCCAAACAAAACCTTTCCCACTCTCCCTCACTTCTACCCTTGGTAACCACTAATAATCTTTGGTTTCTATATATATATACATATATATATATTTTTCAACCTATTTAGGAATTTCAACCCCCACTCAATCTCTGATAACCAACAAAGAAAGCTCCCTTCCATTAATAAACCTTTCCTTGACTTTTTACAGTAGTGAACAGTATTTGTCCTTCTGTGATTGACTTACTTCATTCAGCATAATGTCCTCCAAGTTCTTCCACATTATGTGGTATTTTGCAGATTCTGCATTATTCTTTGGGTTACATAATATTCCATTGTGTGTATATACCACAGTTTGGTTATCTGTTCCTCTGCTGATGGACACTTAGGTTGCTTTCATCTCTTTGCTATTGTGAATAGTGCTGCGATGAACATGGGTGTGCATATATCTATTTGTGTCTAATTGGACAGACAGTTGTTATTGGTGTTAGCTGATGTCAAGTCAGTTCCGACTCGTGGTGACCCTATGTGGAACAGGGTATGACTTCTCCAGAGGGTTTTCTTGGCTGCAATCTTAACAGAAACAGATCACCAGGCCAACTGCCAGCTGGGTTAGCAGTCAAGCACAAGTCCTATGTGCCACCTAGGGACCTTCAATTTACAAATTAAGGAGCTTAGTTCTTTAAACATTACACATTATTTAATAGGCATCTTGCTCACTGACAAAAATGTTTTCAACCAATAATGAGAGCCAGCTCTGTTAAATGACAATTTGCTGATTCCCACAGCTACCTTGGGAGGAAGAAACTAGTAGCTCCATTTTAAAGAGGAGAAAATGGAGGTGCAGAGAGGCTAACTCATACAGGTAGAAAGTGGTGAAACTTGTTTGTGCACTGGGTCAGCCTGTCACTGGGTTTCACGGCCTGCCCACTAGTAAGTGCTGAATCTTTCAATGCATAAGGTGTTGCATCTGCCTTTAGAGACTCAGCTGTAGTAATCAGTCTTTCCATGCAAGAGATCCAAGTTCAAATCCAGGCCAGTGCATCTCATGTGCAGCCATCCCCTGTCTGACAGGGCAGGCTAGTGTGTTGCTGAACAGGTTTCAGCAGAGCTTCCAGACTGAGGTGGACTGGGAAGAAAAGCCTGGTGATCTACTTCTGAAAACCAACCAATGAAAACTTACAGATCACAATGGTCAGATCGACAACTGACCGTGGGGATGGCACAGGACTGGGCAGTGTTTCCTTGTAGCTGTGGGTGGTGTAGTGAATTACATGGTATGCCTTTTCTAGCCATAGTCTTTGTAACTCCCACTTTGCTGTGAGCAACTGAGCAGCTGCTTGTTAAAGTTATCCACCTGGGGCATTTCTGTTGGAGCAGCATGAAGCAATCTTCTGGAAAGTTTGCTCTCTCTCTCTTGGGTGTGTAGAATTCTGATGTTGGGATTGGTTAGTCTTGCCACTCTGCCAGGCTCAAAAGGAGCCCTGCTAGAGACAGAAGAAATCCCTCTGACTGCCAGCTGAGAGTGACATGCTTGCTGAGAGATGTGAGAGAGATGCACTGCTGAGAGAGAGACATGTTACTGAGAGAGACTGAGAAAGACTGCCAGCTGAGAAAGAGGGTCGGCTGAGAGAGACTGAGCACATTCCTGAACTTGAATTGCAGACTGTTGCTTCCCTAATAATCCCCACAATCTGTGAGTTCTGTATGGGCACTGCAGCAAATTATCAAACCCAGCAGAGAGGTGGTGGGTGCCATGGGAGAGACGGTTGCTATCGAGCTTAGTAAGAGGACTGGAGGGTAGTGGCATGTCTGGATGCATAAAAACAGGCCTTGGAACAAAACTCAAAAATCATTAAAAAAAGAAAAAAAGACCATGTTTGCTGGTCTGTTAGAGCCTGATGGAACCACTGAGACTATGGCCCCTAGCTGCTCTTCAGGTCTGGAAATGAACTCACTCCTGTGGCTTCCAGCCAAACAAAAGTCAGGCATATGAGCTGAACATTTACATTAGGTAGATACACTCTTTGGAGAGAACAACCATGAGAGAATAGAAGGGTTGTGTATGCACAGGGAGACAGCTCAGGGGACAGGAGTGCATGGGAGGGAAGAACACAGGGAAGAGGTAACTATGGGGAGGAAGTAAGAGGGGAGCCGTTGCACTGTGATAAATTGTAGTCAATGTCATGAGACAAAGTATATGTGAGCTGCTGTATGGAAAGGAATTTGCTCCATAAACTTTCACCCAAATCACAATAATAATAATAATAATAATAAAGTATATAGTAACTATTAAAAAAAACAGGCCTTGGGCTGCTGATGGTGATTCTGTCTTCCTCTTGTGTACTTAGAGGTCAGAAGATGCCACCTTCCTGCCTCTTTTGCATTGTGTTATAGTTGTTGCAAAGTGAAAATTCAAAGGCATCGAGTGAAGCCTTGAATATTTCTTGCCTGGTTTTATGGCAGTTCCTTTCTTTCAGAATGTTCACTATTCCAGACCACCTAGATCCTCGGGAGTGTTATTTGTAATAGGTGACATTTTCCAATGCTATTTCCTCCCACATTATGAAATCTTATCTTCAAGGCCTTGTGAAATAGTCAGGACAGAAAAGCATTAGCCTCGTTTATGGTTTGGTGGAAAGCAGACACACGGAGGAAACATACAGTGGAGTGAGGACAAGATTCAGGTTTCGGTTCCTGCTGTGATGAACAGAATGTCATAAGGAGCAAGTTCCACTCACCTGGCTGTGCCCCACGGCCACTGCCTTCTTCTCCAGATCCAGGGTCTGCAGGAGCTCCTCCACAGCCTTGGGAGAAGAGAGAAGTTGAAGAATTGCAAGGGCAGTGAACCCCCAAGTGAAAGGTCATGTTGGCTGGATGGCTAACACCAGATGACAGAGGATCCTCCACTCTAGGAGCTTTGGCTAACAGAGCCCAAGGTGAGAATAAGTTCTCTATCTGATACAGTGAGTGCAGAAGCTTAGCACTTACTGAGCAGCTGTGTGCCATCCATTCTGCTGGGACCTTCACACCCACCATCTCTTCATCTTCCTACCATCCTTATGTCGGAAGGAAGGTTGGGCAATCCATACTTCCATAGTGATACTGCCTCAGCAACCCAAGGAGGGGTCGCTATGAGTCGGGGCTGACTCGATGGCACACAACAACAACAACAACCCTTATGAGGGCCATTATACTGCTCTACTCATTTTACAGAGGAGAAAACCAAAGATACAAAGCAAAATGAAGGCACTTCTCCAAGGTAAAAGGAGCTCTGGTGGCATAGTGCCTAAGGCATCTGACTGCTAACCAGAAGGTTGGTGGTTCAAACCCACCAGCTACCCTGTAGAAGAAAGACTGGGCAATCTAGTCCTTAAAGATTTACCACTTCAGAAACCCAATGGGGGTTGCTATGAATCGGATTAGACTCGATGGCATTGTTTGGTTCTCCAAGGTAACAGGGTAACACCAAGGGCAGAGCCAGATTCCAATCAAGGCCCGTCTGGCCACATTGTAATATGTGTGTCTTGAACTGCTTCTCAGGACTAGACTGGTTCCAGAGGACCTGAGGACACTACAAATTTCACTCACTGTGTCCCTAAGTCCCCCTGTGACAGCCTTCAGCTGTCTGTTCTTATCTCACTGTATTTCCCCATGACTGTCTCACTCTCATTCATTTATTTGCTAAATAAATTACATGATCAATAAACTTGACCTCCCTAACTTAAATGATGATAACCCTGATGGGGAGACTGTGTTTTAAGTCATCTCTTCATTCCTCCATTGCACCCTATATTGTTCTATGCATATAGTAAGTGCTCAATAAAAACAAAGATGGAATGAATGAATACCCAAACAGAGAGAGATTCATTGGGGTGAAAAGGTGGCCCCATGCTGCTGAAAGGAAGTCACTCTATGAGATTACTGCTGGCACTTATGCCAAATCACCAACCATTGCATGGAATTTTCCTCTTGTCAAATAATCACTCAGGCTCTGTAACAGCCATGCTGGGATTTGCACCCTCAGATAAATACAGGCCATGCCTGGTTCCTTTGTGGCTGCCAATTCCCCTCCACTCCACTTCCATATTACCCCTCATGAATCTTCCATTCACTTAAAATCACAAAGTCTATTTTCAGAATGAGCTGTCAGAAAAGTAACTGCAAAAAAAAAAAAAAAAGAAAAGAAAAGTAACTGCAACACTCAAGAAGTAATGGGTATTAGGAGGGTGAAGTGATTTAGCAGATGAGTTTCAATTCTGTGGGCCATCAGCATCACAGCACACTTCCTAAGATAACCTTACAAATGCTCATTAAAAGTCTAGTCCTAGACTAGCAATCACAGGGGAACTTCATCCTCTGACTGACCCGAAGAACACGCCATGACGCCCCTCTGAAAAATCAGGGATTTCAGTTATTGCATTTTGGGCAAAATTGTCTAAGGGAGTTGTAGACAGCAGAATGCATAAAATCAATATATCTAAAATATAACATCTTTTCTCCCTGCACAAGAGGAGAACAAAATAAAAATGGAACCTACAACCAATGAAATTTGTCTCAGTCGCCTTGGAGTTTAAAGCCCATGGGAGATGTTTGGGGGCTTGAACATGAGGATCTATGGGTAGATCCATGTGGGTTGAGAGCCTGGTTTGACCACTCATGAACTGTGTGACCTTGAGTCAATACTCTGTTCTGAGACAGAGGCTGTTTGCCAGAAAAATAGGGAAAAACGATAACATCTGCTTCAAAGGACTCTGAGACCATAACTCTACAGGCTTCACACAATGCCTGCCACTCTGAGCACCCACTGTACCCCACAGCCAGCTCTGTTTCAGTTAAAATCTGGGAGCAGTGTTGCAGAACGTAGACTATGGCATTCATTTCTTGAGGACACCCTAAACGCTGCCAAAGAATGTGCCCAAACCCCACAATAGCTGAAGGTTCTTCTCTGCCTCCTTGCTTTCTTATAACCCTTTAGATATCTATGTGGACAAGACTGTTGGACCCTCTAATGATATATTGGGTCCTATTAACCTCATCTTATAGATAAGAAAGTGCAGTCCCACATGGTGGGTTAAGTGGGCGATTTCCAGCACTATGTGATGCTTCTGACTCTCACCTGTAAAATGGTGACAATATTCCCCACCTGGACAATAAAGCTTTTGGGAGAATCAATTGAGAATATAGGAGGGGATAAAAGAGCCTTTGTAAATGACTTTGCACCTAATTGCTATTATTGTTATCATTATTAATATTACTATTAGATTGAACTATAGGAAATTGCCATTTGTTTAGGTCACATATCAATGGTTTCATTTCATTCACCATAATAATGGCATCACTGTCTGACAGCCAGTTAGTGCGACAGACAGGGTAAGAATCCAGTTTTCCGGCCAGAATCCCTCCCTTGTCTCGTGTCTTTATGGAATGAGCTATTCCATGTATCTGAATTTGTCCAGATACCTGACACCTCCACCTCAGCACGGAATGCTGCTTTTGTAAGTAAAATGCTGGCCATTTTGATCTAAGGAAACACAATTGTCTGTCTGTTTCTGAGTCTAGGCACTGTCCTAAGGGCTCAACACATAATAATTCATTTCATTTTCAAACCTCCATGACAAGTACTGTTGCATCCACAACTTACATAGAAAGAAACTGAGGCCCGGCGCACTGAAGCAACTTTCAAAGGTCACACGGTTAGGAAATGATAGAGGGGAATCGAACCTGGGAATCAGACTCCAGAGCTTGTTATCCACCCTATGACACTGAAACCCCGTCTAGGTCCAGTGCTCACTAGCTGTGTGATCTTGAAAAAGTCACTCTTTCTCTCTGGTTAACAGTGCCCTTTTCTATGATAAGGGGTAATCATGCCTATCTCACAAGAATGCAGTGAGGATTTAATGTGGGCATAAAAGCAGCATACAGGAGTGAGATTTCTGGAATGATGGGCCAAGGAGCTTGGCAGATCCTCTCCCCAAAAAAACAATGATAAAAATGGACAAAATTGGAAAGAGCAGAAAATTCAACACTTTGGAAATTGAACAAAGGCATACAACAAATGAGCAGTTCAAGAAAAACTACTGGGTACCATGTAAGAACAATGGTGTCTATGGCAATCTTCACTGGCAGCCCCCTTCGTCCAGAACCACCCTTCCCCCAAGTTCTATCACTGCAGTAGTCCTCCCAGGGTAAAGCAAGCTGTGAAAACCAGCAGCTTTGTTCAGAAATGGTTCACTTCTATCAGTGAAGCATGGGAAAATGCCATAGCTAGTAGTATTGTCGGAGACAGTAGCAACATTGGTAGCAAAACAAAAGGGGAGACCAACAGCACAGCTAGCCCAGAGCTGTATCCCTGAGTGGGGCGAACAATGGGCAATAGACCACCAGAAATTTAACAAAGAGATTTAGGAAATGAGACAGTCATAGTCAGCTTTGAGAAGCTCTCATATATTCCTGGCAGTCTAGAAGGTTGCACTGATACTCAATGGTACACATTTGCAAAGGCGAGATAAGAGAGACTCCTAGCTATCTACATATCACTATTTAAACATGAGGCTGTGCACACAGACATAAGAGATATGAAAAGCCTAGGGCAAGGCACATTGTAAACTACCTGAACGCTGAATACATTTTCCAACCCATACATATCCATCAAAAGAAGGTGGAAGCCTTCCAGATACAAGGTGTTTGATCACAACATCTGCTGACCATTAAGCTATGGTGATACAGGGTTGCCTCTAAGAAGCCAGGGTTTAAAATTAAATATATATATGTATTTTTAAAGTGAGCAGAGATATTAGTGGTCACACATCACTGGAGAGAAAGACTCAATAGATCTAGTCCAGACAAGTTACTAAATAAATAGAGGGGAAAAAAAAAAAAAGTAGAATCAAGACTATTATACTATCTAAAGTGTTCAGTTTTCAACAAAAAATTACAAGACATGCACAGAAACTGCAAAGTGTGATTTATTCTCTGGGAAAAAAAAAACAGTAGAACTGTCTTCGTGGGCTCAGATGTTGGATTTGGTAGACACAGACTTCATACAAATGTTCAAAACTTAAAATGGATTCAGTTTACTATGCAAACAGCAAGCATTAGAGAGCTGCAGTGGGAATATAAATATTATACAAAATAGACATTAAACAAAAATTATTACTAAACAAAGAAGGACATTTTATGATAAAAGGGCCAATCTATAAGGAAGATAAAACATTTGTAAATAAGCATGCCCCTAACAAGAGAATTCCAAAACATATGAAGTAAAAATGAAAAGAAGTAAAAGGATATTGAAGTGGACACCTCAATACCTGACTCACAATAACCAACAGAGCAACTAGACTGAAAAAATCGCAAGGATACAGAAGAGTTAAACAATCCTACTGACCAAGTTGCCTCAACTAACCTCTACAGACCATGGCACCAAATGATAGCATGCATTGAACACTCTCAAAGACATATCATATGTTGGGCCATAAAACAAGTCTTGATCAATTTAAAAGTATTGAAGTCATATGAAATATCTTCTCAAATCATGGTGGAATTAAGAAACCAACAACAGAAAAAAATGAGGAAATTCACATATATATGGAAATTAAACAACATACTTCAAATGGATCAAAGAAGTCACATGGGAAATCGGAAAATATTTTTAACTAAATAAAAATGAAAACACATCACATAAAAATTTATAGGACACAGCCAGAGTAGTATTTTGGAGAAAATGTATGCTTAAACACATATATTAGAAAAGAAGTATCTCAAGTAAACAATCTAAACTTTTAAGAAACTAGAAAAATTAAGGAAA